GGGGAGGGGGAGGGAGGGGGTTCGCCACTGACCTTTCAGAGTTAGGGTGTCATATGTGTTGCGAGAAGTGCATGAAGTTCGTAGCCACTGCACGGAGTATGGAGCTTGGCCGGCTAAGATCTTGTCGGGGCCTGGAGTAGTGTCCCTATTCATGCTCGCAATCGCAACTGTCAACTCCGAATCGCTATTTACTGACAGCAATGTTCGTTCTACTTCGCCAGCCAGTACAAATCTTTTACTCACGCTTAGCTGCGCGCGTAAGCATACCAAGCATAAGTAGGTGAGCATGAACACGCTCACCGTATTAGGCAAGAGAATAGCACAGTAGCATTAGTAGCAGAAATGCCTGTAGAAATAAGTAGGATTAGTGAATTGTACCTAGATAGATAGGAAAAAAATCATTAACTTCGTAGTTTCGTGGTATTAACCGCATCCTCTCCTTATAAATTCTGCGATCTTACTGTTAGTATAGACGTATTTGAATTTTAAGTACGCGGAGTAATCGCGCCAAGCATGGATCACAATTTACGAATGAGCTTTCCAAAAAGGAGCACCAGTTCGACCAGCGTTTCGAAGAAATTTTCCAATTAGAGGGCAAGGTACGTCTTTTCGGCATGTTCTTTTTACCTGGAATTGTTCGTTTTCAATAATCTCATCCAACTTCTGATTTGGTTTGTTCTACTTAATGATCTTAATGATCTTTTGTTGTTAATGATCTTCTGTCTAATGTAGGATAGGTTAACCATCGTACTATCATAAAGCTAAAGGATAAAGGATAAAGTTTTTGGCGTTAATTAATCCCGTCTGAGGGATGCGCCCCCGCACTCGACTTCCATTCAGAATCGTAGTGGCGTAATGAGTGCGTATGTGGCCCATACAATGACTTGCGGTGGCCAGCCGATGTACAAGTCAGTGCTTTTATCCTCCCAGACAAGACTGGTACCAATTTACCGACTTGCTTGGCCTAAGCGGGCATCGATCAGGGATTCGAGCCACTGACCGTGCGTGTGATATAGTGCGCCACTTACCACTACACCACCTCCGCCCTATCCTACTATCCTACTATATATAATTCGCTAAGTGTGTGTGCGTGTGTGTGTATGTGTATGTGAATGTGTTTGTATGTGTGTGCGACCGGAAATTCATGACTCCGATCCCGTAGACTTGGAGAGTTCAAATTTCGTGGGAGTAAGGGGACAGTATGGAAATACTTATGGCGAGTAGCGGGACCGGATTCCACCCACACGGGCGGGGCGTGCTCGATGGGAATGTTGAGCCGCAAATTCGTAACTCATGTTCCCGTGAACCTATAGGGTTCAAACTTGGTAGGAGTACAGGCGACAGTATGGGAACACCTATTATGGGTGGCAGGATGGGACTCCGCCCACAGGGAGCGGGGCGATAGTAATTTTGGGTCGCAAATTCATATCTATTGTGTACGTGGAGCACAGCGTTGAAATTCTGTAAGAGTACAAGAGGCAGGATCGAACACTTATGGTAGGAAGCAGTGCTAGACTCCGCTGCAGGGGCGGACCGTGCACAGAGTAAATGTCTTAGCGGAAATTCGTGACCTCTGTTTACCCAGACCCAAAAAGTTCAAATTTTGTAGGTTTATCAAGTGATGTAGTATATGACGGGGTCGTAGGAACTCGGGGACAGGATCTGATAATAAGTGATAAGAGATGATAGGGAGTCTAAGAAGGCAAGAACCACTTATCGATCAAAATCGTACCGCGTTCGGTATTTACGATACAGATTTGACTGTTTGTTTCATTCGACAAGATGGGATGGTAGGGTAGGGTGACAAAAGTGAGTGGTAAGTGCTGTGATAGAGACCTATTAGCAGTACTACGATAAGCAGATGAGAATTTTGTTTATTTCTCACTATTAGATTACGACCGCTACACAGTAAGATTTGTGACTCAGTGAAGTGACTCAATGGAGGGTCCTCTTTTCTTGATATCATTCGCGGCAAAACCTAACCAACCGCCAGTTATCTGAAACTCTTAACTAATGATATCTCTGTAAAGAACAAGGTCCATCGATAACATCTGATGATGGTGTCATGTGTTATCATCACTCGAAACATTTGTGAGTACCACCCAAGAGGCTTTTGTTACCTAACAGTTGAATCTTTATTGGGTATTTACTCAAAAAAAGAGCGAAGAATCGATATTTCCGATATTCTATATAATCGATAATTGAAGGCGTAAGCACCGATTTACACTGAATACCATTTGTTCTGCTCTGCTAGCCCTGTGTCAGTCTCCGTGTACAGGGAAATATTATTTGTCTCAAAGAGTGGAGAGTTAGCCGATCACTATAACTTTACGATGAAAGAGGGAAGCCCGGTGTCAGCCGGGCGAATCGTCTGGTATGTATATAACTCGCGGAGTGCGTCGGTGTCTGTGTTTGAAATTCATTGCGCCTGTTCTAGCCGCTGTTTACAGGTGATGCATGCACAATAAACTGGTATTAATATATATTTATTAGGTTGAGTCATAAGTCCTCGGACAGATTGACGATGATTATATTTATCCTACAGTTTTCGAACGGCAATTGCGAATCATTTGAAATGTGTCCCATTGGCATCGATGGTCTTCTGTCAACGCTTAGGCAAATCGTAGATCATAGGCAGATGCCCTTGCTCCAGAACGCTTGGGGCTCTCCCTTGAAAAACTGCTCGAGTGCCATATTGATGTCGTCGCGGGTTTAAAAGTTCTGAGCACCCAGATGACGTCTGAAATGGGGAAAAGTGATAATCCGAAGAGGCCAAGACTGGGGAATACGGTATGTGTGGTAAAATTGTTCAGCTGAAATTCATTAGTTCAGTCTTGGTCGTTCTTGCGATGTGCGGGAGAACGTTGTCGTGCTGGAAGTAAACTTTTTGCTGCTGTGGACGTGTAGCTACTAGATTCGTCGTCTAATTCCTCAGTGGCTTGATGTAGACGTCTGCGGTCACTGCACATCCTTCGCCTAGCAGCTCCCAGTATTCGACACCGCGAACGCTTCACCAGATGCAGAACATAACCTTCTCGGCGTGTTCGTTGGGTTTAGGGAAGTCTTCTGCATCCGCACCTTTGTCAATCCATTGAGCACGCCGGTGAACATTAGAGTAGAGAATTCTCTTCTCATCCCCGGTGACTAGGTGCCAGATCCGTGTGTGGGTGCGCTTAACTGCAGGGAGGGAAAGTGCCATGTCGGTGCGGCGGTCCATGTCATACTGCTTCAAAGCATGAGGCACCCATCAACCGAGCTTTCGCACCTTGCTGACTTCAATCCACGAACAACTGTGGACTGACTCAACCCAAGAGTGATTGCCAGTTCACGAATATTTTATACGGATCGGCTTCCACGTGGCTCCGCAGCACGTCCAAATCCAACTCCACTGGGCGTCCCGGACGGTCTCCATCTTCGATGGAATACTCGCCCGACGTGAACTTCGAGTGCCACTTGTAAGCTATGCTTCCAACAGGGGCGCTCTCCTTGTAAACTTCCTTTATACGTCAACCGATTGGCACAGGCTATTAAGCAGATAAAAAAAGAAATAGGAAGGTGTTGCGGATATGGAGTTGCGACAGCTTGAAATCTTGGGGCATGTTTGCAGGAAGGGAAACAGTTAGGCGTTTGCTCGTATGTATTTGGAAGAGCTCTTCGTACTCTATCTAACGATGCATCGCGCTTTCATTTTCGTCACCTCTTTCCCGAGTTATGATCTTTAGATCTCATCACTATCACATTGTCCGGGGACTTACGGCTCAACCTAATAATACATATAGATATTTTCAGAATTATTCTGACGTTGATCTCTTAATGGCTAGAACAGCACTCGCAAATATGCTTGGAAGTATCGGTTACTGGCATGGATACAACAAAGTATGTTCCTAACCTTGATGACGTCAATGTATTTTGTAGGGACTCTTCCCAGGTTCATGTTGGAGGGGATACCATTGTATCTTATGGACCGCACGAATTATTTTCTGCGGTTCCTTCACGGTCGTTCTTCCCTCGTGGATTTCTTTGGGATGAAGGCTTTCATAATCTATTGATACACAAATTTGATCCTGATTTGAGCATTGAGGTGAGTTTCTTTTTTTGCCTAGCGGAATTCTAGTGCCGTCCGACTTCTAATCCAGATTCTTGTGTCCTGGCTGAACACAATGAGCGAAGATGGATGGATACCGCGAGAAATGATACTGGGAGTGGAAGCAGAAGCAAAAGTATGCAATTTCGAGTTTCTACCTACTTCTAGAACGATTGCACTGCTAGTCTTTTTTACGAGTAAAAATTAAAATTCAAAGCAAAAATGGGCAAGACATTCGGTAGTCTTACAAGTCCTTCCTTTACTTCTTTTCTTTTCTGTGTTTTTTAACTTAGAAGCGGCGTTCGCGTTTTTGGTATGTTCGCATCGCTTTTCTCATTATATTCTTGACCTCTCATCGATTATCATGAGACCTTCAGGCAATTTGCCAAGCTTTGCGAACTCTTCACATGTGACTATGGTCTTAAGAGATTTCAGTCATGAACATTGTGGGATGCTCGAGTTTTTAACGTGAATTGTAAGTGATGCAGCTGTATTCTTTTGAACAGTAGCTATAGTAGAGCGCATCTAACTTATTCCGATACATGTGCATCAGCACGTGCGCATTTGAGAATAAGGCCTGTATGAAGAATATCACTGACGAGATCGGGTCTCTCGTTTCTTCGCGTTTGCTGTGCCTCTCTAATATGGCAAAGCCACCTGATTCTAAGTGGAGTACACTTTTGTGTCCAGACCTCGCTTTGTTTGCTATCGCAATACGGCATCATACGGATGATTCTTTTATGATAGCCTTTGAAATTAACAGTGTTAAAGTTCTAATAACACTAGAGGAAGAGAGCAACCTGTGGAACGAGTCCAGGTTTATTATCGCACCGTCTACCATTTTAAATCGGCTTGATTTCTTGCATACTTTTTGTAGGAGATCAGTGGAAGGTGTTTTCGAATCATATGCCGCTTTTGAGGTAGAATTGTTGATCGTAGATTATTGACCAGTTGCTATTGTTGAAGCACCTGGAGAAATTTCATTATTGCAAGGGAATATTTGCATGTCTCATGTTACACATCATCGAACACAGAAAGGGCCTGCTTTGCCATGCTGTTTGTATAAAGTTCTGCACTGCCGTGGGCGTAATGGGACGAGGATCTCATATCTGCTCTGCAGGTCTACTAGTGGCTCCTATCCTGTCCTAATGTTATTATTTCTCCACACCACCCACCATCACCTTGTGTGCCAGATTTGCCCTTTCTATTTGGGCGCATTGAGGCTGCCTTCATACTCATAATCTTCCACCAGGAGCTGCCAGGTATCGATATTCCAGAGTCAATGAGTCGTGCTGCATTGGAAGGCGCAGTTCTCCATAAATATGGCTTATGAGATCTCGCAGAAAAGTGGTACACATACACACTACACACGGGCCCCCCTATACCGTGAGTTGCGCCGTCAAGTTGGAAAACGGCTTAGGTAGGGCGTTATAAAGACTCAAGGATTGTCTGGTGTGTTACCGCGGACGAGTTTCAATGGCACTATAGAGGCTTCACAAAGGAATCCATGTAGGAAGTCCGATTAACTGGTGATAACTCATTTCGGCACTGAAAGGCAATCCTGGACAAGTTTGGCTTGATGTGGTCAGCTTTTTGCGCAATTCCAACAATATTTGAGGAACCTTATTTTTCGTAGGGCAAATCTCGTAGCAAGATCTCGTAGTACGAAGCAAAGAAAGACTGTGAGATCGCGGTGAGACACGCGCAACCATCACATAGTGATCACACTCGGGGAACGTCATTAGTCGGTGAAGCAAATCACTTGTTCTCAAGGGTAGCCAAAAGCTTGTCTGAATTCGATGATAAGTAACTTCTAAACGGAATAAATTTCGATAGTTAGTCAATTAGCAGATTTTGTTACTACGCATAGATCATGAAGAGTCAAATTGACATCATTGTGAGATAGACCTCCTTTTCTCCGTTCATGCTTGAAAACGTCTAGGTTCCCTCGGAGTTCATCGTGCAAAGGACGAACGTTGCGAATCCACCCAGCATATTCTATGTGATTGATCAAATGTTAAGCGATAAAAAGGTAATTTTCTCAGCAACTTTTCTTCTTTCTCTTTTCAAACATTGCATCCAAGAACTCGTCCGAACACAGTGCATTTCCTGAGCGATTTGGTGAACCTTTCTGAAATGATTTCATTTTTTTCTTTTGTAGTTGCTTGAAAGGTATCGCAACGTCTTGGCTGGTGTTTATCCAAGATTAGAGGCTTGGTATCGGTGGCTGCGTAGAAGCCAGGCCGGAAGGAAGAAAGGAACATTCAGGTAAGCTTGTTTTCTGTATTTCTTCTCTATCATTCCTGGGACAGACAGTGGCTAATAAACATTAAATAACAGCCTAGTTCCTAGTTCCTAGTTTGAATTTCTTTGAAGGTGCTGTGCAATTAAATTCTCGGTTGCACTGAACGATACAGATGGAATGCAATCAGAGCAATCAGAGCAGGGATCGAAAAATTTATTGCTGCAAGAAATACCTTATTTCAGTAGTAGATCCAAGGGGACAAAAGGCGTTGAACCATTGCAAGACAAATCAGCATTCAAGTGATTTGATGTGGGGTGAGAATCATTTTTCCTGCAGCGGACCATCACTGAGGCATTTCCGGCACTTGCTCTTCGATTCTACTGTCACAGTCCACAACAAATAACACTATCCGGACCCATGTTGAAGAGAATCTAGAAAATTCCCAATTAGTCGCACTGGAGTTTTCGGAACCATTTATGCTGANATAATCCACAAGTTCGGTGTGGGGTATTTGTTTGTATGTATGTATGTGTCGCGGACTCCGGTTTACCTGATAAACGTACGAGAGTAGGGCAAGATCAACTGAGCACACATCAGCTCTGTAGAGTTTCGCCCACAAAAGGCGGGACAAGATCGAAATGGGCGGGATAAGAAGCCCAAACTCCGCTGAAACAAGGATAAAGGAGAGGACTGGGTCAACAGATAAGGTACGAGGTACCTCCATCATAAATTCATAACTTGGCCCCAACAAAGCCTGAACTCAAGGAAAATCGTAGTGAGCATAGTTTTATGCTCTTTTTACCAATACCATCAATATAGTGTCAATGCAGATGGCGCGGACGAAACTCTACTATTGTTACCGAGCTTAACCCAAAAACGCTCGCTTCGGGATTGGACGACTATCCAAGGGCGAGTCATCCATCTGAGGAGGTAATTCTAACATTGTTAATAATTTTAATCTTATTGCCTTACAATTTCCACGTTCGGTCTTTCTGAAAACCGGACATTTCACTCAATGTTTTTTACTGCTCTGCTGCACAGGTTTGTTATGGGTGAATCGCTCATTGGTCAACGTTCCGACCAATTCGTCGTCTTCAAGAACTGAAAATAGTTTGAAGCTCTTGATCTGAGACCTGCCCGATCCAGCTCTCACACGCGCTAGGCTAGCTGCAAAACTCTCGGAAACTCAAACGTCGAAAGACCCCGAAACCCAACCTTCTGCGGTTCCACCAGCGCTGACGTTCCACTCGTTTAAGTGAACAACAAGGGACCAATGAGCACCATGAATGATTGTGAGATAAGAACTGTAAGAATTTGAACCTAGAACCCACAAAAGCGAGTGGATGGCGAGAGTTCACTTTTTATGGCCATGCACTCCTTTCGGTTGTTCAGCTTTGAGTTTTTGTGCGGATATGCAACGCTTTCTGTTTCTTTCTAGCAGCGACCTTCTCGTAGGCTAGGATTTGACATTAGATGTCAAAATCATAGCGCTGATGAGCTCTAGTCGCTGCCTCTCAAGTGGTGTGAGTAGGCTTACACGCCTTTTTCCAACTAGATCTTCTTTAACCCATTGACGACCATGCAGTCCACATGTGGACTGCAGTTGTTTTTTTGTTTTATTCATCTATATTTCCATTTTTTTTTTTACAATTTTTCTTTTCAAAACATTACATCAGGTCTAGATGAAACCACATGAAGCGTGACCTTCTAAATTCTTCTAATCTTGCGATTGTAAAGGTGTTTTTTTCGAAGGAGTACATTGCCTTGGTGAGTTTTTCGTTCGTTGAACAACTTTAAAAAATGAGATTTTTCGAAAAGACGATCGTTATTAGCATTTTGTCCGTCATCGACCAAATGCAGAGCTCGTAAATGTTCCCCCAAAACGATTTCTGGTAATGATTGAAGTCATAATTGAATGACCACTAGACTGAGTACCGGTTCTATAAAAAAGATCAACAATCACTCATTGTGGGTATTCTTTTCAAACCCATTCGAAGGAACATTCCGAAAACTTATAAATATCTCTTATAAACTTTAAAAAAATGGTCATGCTGGACGATGAGAGTGGACGAAAAGCGCGCCGGTTCCTCGCGGCGGTTTTCCCGCAAAACGTCATGGTCGTCAATGGGTTAAAGACACAGTTCACGATAATTTTGGGTAATCCAGGTTAGATGAAAAATGGAAGACAAGATCGAAAGTAGTGCGACTGAGGTGAAGAAACTGCGTGTATCGGTGTTTCCAAAGTGAAAAAAGGCTTCCAAAAACTGTTAAAAAGGGGGCTGGACGAGAATAAAACAAGAAAAATGAAGAAGAGTGGGGCGCCCGGACGAGCTAAACAGTGTGGTTCACGGCGCGCGTGCGGCCTGGTGCCAATAACAGACAATGGTAAGCAAAAATTCATTCACTTATAAGCATAAATAAGCAAAAAAAAATCCTAGTAACAGCAAAAGTAGCTCACCTTTCTCAGCCTCTAGGAGTAGGAAATTCAAATAAGGGATCGCGGCAGAAAGAAAAAGAGGAAAAAAGAATGGGAGGAAAACATCGCCTCACCACTCGGTGATTAGCTGATTGTGCGTGGGTCCTAGAACGAATAATAGCAATCTGCATTGTCTCGACACTCGTCTAACGTGACACCGATCGAGGGGCGGGAAAGCGAACTACGGCAGCAAAGGGGCTTCCACTATGTCTTAAGCGCCGAGTTTGTGGGAGTGAAAGTGTCCCTTCTACCACCCATAGGGGGCACTGTGTATTCCTAAAGGAAGAACTCAGTAACCTTTTTATCGTGAACCGTGCCTTTAAGGCGTATGTACAAGCGTAAACAGTAAATTGTACAGGTGAAGTTGAACGGGAAGAGTCGCGTAAACTAGCAACTGAGAATGCAAAGTTAATGGTTATGTGACACAACACAGAAGATCATGCTAACAAAGGTATTTCCAAGAAAACGTGAGAATATGGTGTATCTCCGGTTTCTTCCGGACAAAATTAGTGCAGAAATCCTATAATGGATCGCACGAGCGGTTTCGGCTCATGATGTTATTTTGATATCAAGCGACAATGTAAAACGTCACTAACCCGCAATAGGCTTTGTAACCTTGCATCATCCAGGGTTGAGTCATTTGTCTATTGGAAAAAATGGATGCACACAGCGAGGGAAGGTGTATCAATTTCAGTGTTCAGCCTGTGACAAAATAAATATTGTTGAGACGAGGAGGATGCTTAAGATACGCGTCTAAGATTATTTATCAGAAAAGGCATGGAAGCCCACTCATATCACTTGGGAGGCACGAGGGACGGAACTTACGTGCGTTCGAGAATGCGCGCGGCAACTTGCGCGGCAAAGTTCGTGACGATGTACGACTCTGACGCCAATTTTCGGGGCTCGAACGTGGAGTAGAGTGGTTTAGTAGGGTCAGCCAATCCTACTGATCTACTCTACTTCAAATTCGGGCCCCAATGATAGGCGCTTAAGTGGTTCAAATCGCCACGATCTCCGCCGCACAATTTACCGCGCGCATCCTCGGACGCACGCATATACCCCTACCTGGGAGGCAGTGACTAGAAGGAAATCAGGGCAATGATTTTAGATTTAGATTTATTAACATGTACGAGCGCATTTCATTCAAAGGTGCAATTCAAAGATAACTGTAAAAACCAAGTAAAACTTTGAATATATCAGAACAACTCCACCATGGCAACTGAGTAACATAGAAGTTGCCTTTGAATTCTCCATTCTCTTTTTAATAATTTTCTCGAAAATAAGGCAGAAAAGATATGTGATACTGATAGGCCTATGATTGGAATGATCAAAAGCAGATTTCTTCTTCAGTGGAGTGACAAGAGCACGTCTCCACCATATGGGACCTTCTACCCAAAAGAGTATCAGATTAAAGAGATTTCCTAGAGGAGAGGAAACGCTAACGAGATCAGTTTGATAAACCTAAAAGGAATACCATCCGATGTGGTTGAGGAACAAGTTGGCCACCCAGAGAGTGAGTAAATTTCGTGTCGATCAAACCAAACCGAATCAGCCATTTTTGGAGAACTCACTCCCTCAACAGAAGGAGGATCACCAAGATCACAATCCTGATGTACAGCTTCAAACACATCAGCAAGTAGTTCGGCTCTGTCACAATCAGAAGCGAGAATGGACCCGTCACTGCTTTCAAGGGATCCTATGCCTTCTTTTCACTTAATTCTATTGTTAACGTATCTGTGAATGGCTGACTTGTTCTTCGATGACAATATCTTTTTTTCAACTGTTGAACCTAAAAAGTTTCTTTTTAATTTATCGAAAATGGGCTTATAATTAATCCACTCCTCCTCCAGATTGGACTCAGAAGCTCTTCTGTAAGCTTTTTCTTTAAAACGGTACTAGTATCCTAAGTAATCAGGAATGTGCGCAAAGGAGGCCTTCACCCTCTTTAAAGGAATAAACAGATCCAATCAATGTCTTAATATGAAGAGAAAAGTTCATACAACTCGTTTACCGAAAGACAACACTGAAAAACACCTGACCAATCAACGCTATCCAAGTACGGAGTCATCCCACCAACATCAACATTTCTAAAGTCCCGAGAGTATACAAAATTGGCATTTTGACATCGAATGCACCAAGTGAACTTTTGCCATCCATCCTCTCTTGTGGGCTTTCGATTAAAAGCTAACAGTTCTTGTCTTACAATCATCCATGGTGCCTCATTGGTCCTTTGTTGTTCACGTTAATCAGTGGGGCGTCAGCACCGGTGGAACCTCAGCAGATTAGTTTTTTTTGCTGAGATCTTTTGAAGTTCGGGCTTCCGGGAGCTGTTGCAACTAGCCTAGCGCGTTTGGGCGCTTGGTCGGGTAAGTCACACATCGCAGATCAGTAGACTCGAGCTATTTTCAAGTCCTTGAATAAGATTTGGTCAAAACGTCGGCCAATAGACGATACAACCATAACAAACCTGTACGGCAGGGCAGTATAGAACACTTATTGTGTTGTTTTATAATGGAATCACATAGAGTTTAAGGAATATCACCTTGACCTTCGTTGCTGGATGGCACTCAGTAGTCGAGTTATGGTCCGATTGGCTCATCTTTTTGAAGAGGAAAAGTATAAGAATAAGTATGATGATGAAGCATCTTCTTTGGCTAATTATGATGAACTTGTACGCCTTCACTGGAGTGATGACAGAAAGGTCAGTTCAATAGTTTTTATCCGAACTATGGGATTTAAATTTGCCATAGCCATAGATTCTGTTGTTGTGTTTCCCAAATTATTGTTTCCTCTCTTCTGCTGATATGCAATCAATACAATGGTGTTGACGCTCGTCCTTTTTTCCCGGGGCCAAAATTGGTGTGATTTTGCCAATTGTTCCACCCAAGAAACAAAGGAGCTAAGGTAAAATCTAGATTTAGGCAGAAGGAGTTCGTTTTTCTGAAAGTCTACGGCGAGACTGTGCGCTCTTAACTGTCTTTTATTTTCTTGAAGAATTATTTTTCATTTCCCACTTTGCCGCTTAGCTAACCTAAAGGCACTGTTCACGAAAAAATGGTTTCGGAGATTTGCACATGGTTTGAATTCGACGCCCCCTCAGATATCACAATAAGGGGCCGGAGAGTGAGCCACGGTCGCCCCCCGCCCCTCGCTAGGCTGACTACGAAATCTAATTGCCCTTCACCACTTTCGCATTGGAGCGAAGTTGGTGAAGAATCGATAAGATGGTTGGCAAATTGCCAGAGTCTGCCAGCCAGATTGTCAAGCAAATTGGGTGTGTTGTCTGCTATTGCAGGCACTGCGTCGCCTTCGTGCACTCGCCCGAATACTCAATTAACCGCCGTTTTTTCAATGTGAAACTCGTCCCACCACCCTTTCCAGCTCTTTTTTGACCCTTTCTGTTTCTTTTCGTTCATCGTTTTTTGCGCTTTTTCGTTGTTATCGCTTTATTCTAGAGTAGTTCTATCAATTCCCCTCAAGAAGGTTACCCTAAATTTATCGTAAACGGTGCCTTTAAGGCTTTCTTCGATTATGGGCTACATAGTGGTAAAGTGCAACTTTCAAGAAAGCCGATTCAAGGATCTCCGGAGCAATATTCATACGAAAGGTAAGTGTGGGATAATAGCTTATGGGCTAATGTTTCTTTTTTTTTTGCTTTGCTAAGGAGTTCTTTGCGTAACTCTACAGTTTTGAAAATTTGTTTAGTAGCACATATCAAACAGCACATTTTGTCGTTTGAGATTCACTTCTATCATTTTGGTTTTCAGAGCTGTGGTTCGAGAACCGAAATTGGGTTTTGTAGATGACGTGTTCGGATATAACAGTCTCTTCCCTCTTATGCTGCGACTTTTACCTGCTGAATCAGATACACTTTCTCACATTCTTGCCAGCCTGAGAGATCCGGAGGTTCGCGCTTAAAGTCATATTCAATTCAGCGGTTAGAAATTGTCGGTTATCTCATCTCTGTTAAGTTAATTTGGAGTGAGTATGGTCTAAGGTCGATCGCTCAAAGCTCTCCGTACTATGGTGCCAGGAACACTGAACATGATCCACCGTATTGGAGAGGGTCAGTTGTTTTTTGCTTGTCCTCTACTTTTGTTTTGGTTGGTATTCCCCTTTTGTAGAGTTAAAGAGCTTAGGCATATTTTAGCAACATTTGGATCAATGTAAATTATATGGTTCTTTCGGCATTGAACTATTATGGGTCAATTCCTGGACCAAGTCGGGCCACTGCTCGAACTGCTTTCGCTGAGTTGAAGAAGAATCTCGTGACAAACATAGCTAAGGTCAGCGACATACTAGTTTATTGCATGTCTGAGTCTGTTCCGTTCATAATTAGATGCTTCAGCTTGGTTTTAACAATCAATCAGGGTCGCTAACAATTTTTCTTCACGGAGAACTTGACGTTCCTTCACGTTCTTTTGTCGAAAGCATCTTTGGAATTGAATATTAGTCATATCTGTTAGTCGAAAACTCACCTTAGTTGCACCTATTTCAATGTTCTGAAATCTTCACTTTTGTCGTCGATGACGACGCTCAATTACTGTATATCTCACTCCTCCTTCTCGGGCGGCTTCTCGAGAAGGCGGAGTTAGGCTCGTTCTGGTACTGTCCTGTAACTTTCCTTAGCGCAGGATACGGTCGAAACCCCTCACGCGTCTCTCTCTCAACACCCAATATATTACTGAACTAACCGTTGCGTTAAAAGGGTAACTGTCCTCTTTCGCACCCATCCTGGCCAAGTGTGGCTTCAGAATTTTTCAAAAACCTGAGGCGACTTAATAAACTGGAGTTTCATTGCAAAGATTGATATTGCCAAATAATTTGCCTGTATGGAGAGTTTTACTAACTCTTTTGAGTAGAGGCCCATTCGAATTGGCAAAATATTTTCATTTTGTCTGTACCAAATGGTTCTTTCATTACATTCTGAATCAAACTTGTCACATTCACGCATTTTACCGGGCACATAAATTTTCTAGAAGTAAGATAAAAGTGTCATGCTTAGACTACTCCGCAAACATACTGTTCTTGTTACTACCAACGCATCGTCACGTCAACTAACCGACTAACCCACACACCAACTTGCACGACTTGCTTTGTTTACACAATATCCTAATGTTATAGGCACTCCTTCATCAAGATATATTTTGAACTTACACGTTTGTTTACTTTATGTATCTGCAATCAAAATTTCAAAATATCTTTCATTAGCAGGGATAGGCTCAAAGTCTGTCTCGATTTTCTCACGGTTTGCACGCACTGTCTCCATTTCTTCGCGACCATTTTTCAGCCCTGCTTTCGGGAACTTCAAACTAAGGTGGCAAGCCGACTGATTTTTCTTTCGATTAGGGGACTAGAAGTCAAGTGGGTTAGTATCAAGCTAGCAGTATGGATGTTACTGGAAGATCATAAAGTCGAGCAGCCGGCATCGATAATACTCCTGGATAAGCTCGACTCTAAAAGCTGGAGGATTGTTCCGCTGAAGGCGCCACGGCCAGTTTCAGAAAAGGGTAATCCGGTCAAGCTTCAGTACGCACATCAGTGTGTTCTCTGCGTACTCGGTACCGTACAACGGTGTCGAAGAAAACCTGTGGCGTCATCCCTTGAATCTCTCCTTAAAACATCCTTTGCTGTGCCTATGACATTTTTTTCGATAGCTTTTCCGATGTTTCCAGCCGAGCATGGTCCTTTCGTTTGCTGAGGATTGGCTCTGTCCCACGAAATTTCTCGTTAGAAGAAACGAGAGATGGATGCTTGTTTCTGCTGTAGTGGGCCAGCAAACACTACATTTTTTGACCCTAAGCTTTCTATTGGCATCGAAATAAATTGGCTTTCTTGCATACGATGGGAAAACTATGAAACTTCTCCTTGGAAATCCGTTCCATCCACGAATTCGATACGTCCAGCTTCATGGCCGTCCTTCTGACGGATCAAATTGGACTAGCATCGACTGGCGAACGGACTACTTTGATCGTCTTATCATTGAAAACGTTATTCTATCTAAGTTATCCGGGTTTATGTCTGCGGTCTTTAGTGGAACCGTCAGAAATCCTTTATTAACCTCCCGCCTCTTGCAGCTATTTATCTCAATTGGCTTTGAATGCGCCTCCATCATCCCCAATAGATATGAAGAGTGTTACACCGGTTACTATTCAGATTACAAGAGAACCTACCTGTGCATTAATTAATAGCCAATGGAGTGAGATTAATAAATTATTTTTGCCGAGCAGGTTTTTGAATTTTAGCGCCCGTAATTTTGGGATACATTGCACATATCAATGACATAAGAAAAAGATAATGAAGAATATGAATTTTCCCGTAAGTTCCGCTACAGTACGGTATGGTTCCAGTACTTCCAAACCCTATAAGGACTCAATGGAGTTGAACACATTCCCCAGCCGCAAACAGTTGTAAGCGGGTTATACGTGTGTGATAATACACCACTTGCCCTGCACCAACTATACACTAATCTAATCGTCACCACGATCGCTTGATTCTGCACATGTCTCCGAGAAGGATCGTGAACTAACTTGTACGCCATTAGAAAATGAGAGTTGACACAAAAAAATGAAAGCTGCACGTAGTAAACCGCTCACGCAAGACGCCAGGAAAAGCTGCAGATAATCATTATTTTGGATTTCTACCATAGTCGCCTTCTCCCCGCCATTCATCGTTTCGATTACTTTTGTAGCCGATGCGTCATTTTCTAAGGGACCAAAATCTTGCACGTGTCGATGAATCCTAACTTTGAGCAGCGAGCTTATCCGACTCTGCGACTCTATCGGCAGAGTTGTTCGAAATGTGTGCACACCTTAAGCCGACGATGGAATAGTGTCGTTAACCCTTTGACGACAACGCGCATTTCGACGTGACGCGCCTATGGGACCACGCTCCCCTCCTTTCGCGCACAACTGGCACCCACCGATGGGTGGCACTGTCCCAGGAGAAACTTTTTTTACTGGCCTACTGAATTCAGCAATTGGTAAGAAACAAGAAATGGTGGCTCCCAAAATTGAGTGGCAATGTCCCACTTGCCAGTCATAGTGGAGTGCGCTTCGTTGCGCGCGTCCGTCGGAACAAGGTCACGCCGCAGCCGTCGCACGCGACGAGTCGGCCAGGAATATTTGACAGACGTCGCAATTGTCAGTGGGGTGTACGCTATGCGTTTGGTCCACGGCAGTCAGTTCAAGGAGAAGATAACACAGACAAATGCAAATCATTTGCTCCAATGACACTTGGTGATACTGTAATGTCATCTCGAGACCTCAGTGTGATGCGCCGCGCGCGAAGTGGGCGGGGTGACCTAGTTCCGACGGACGCGCGCAACGGACGTTCTCCGTCATAGTGCCACCCACCGATGGGTGCCATTGTCGTCAAAGGGTTAATAGTTGAGGAAGACTTTTTTGAAATAAGCTGTTAAACTTTTAAACTTGCATTAATTTTTCTGTTTTTTGATGAAACGCACAATATTTCCGTTTTACCTAAACACTAGGTCTCTTTTGAGGGCACACTTCAGTAGTTCCGCAAATTTGGTTCTGCAGTTTTTATTATAATGGGATGTGCCACTGCTACAGCTTAAAGAAGTTTGCGAATTTTGCTGGTGATGCTCAAAGTTTTGCAAGATTTCCGCTCAATTGCGCCTAATTGCAAAGGTGCTGCTCTCGGCGTTCAATTAAAGCTGATGAGCATTCCTTTGAGGCTTTGTTATTGACCAATTTTTGATGATTCCCAATCACCTCAATTAACTTTGTATTATGCCTCATCACTACCAATCAAAGCTACCGAACACTCCCTCGATGAAGAAGGGCACCCTAACAAAAGTAAGGGTTCATCTTCTACAAAACAAAAATGAGTTGTTACAATAAAACCACTTTTTTTACAACTCGGTTACATTTTTGGTTTTCTTTGCCATCGACGCCCTATTTAACATCAATGTTTTCATTTCTGAATTAAATAACCAATAGTCATCCAGTCGCGACCTTCGCTTCAGGCAATATAATTAATAAAAATCATTTGTTACAGGAATTCAATCGAACTGGTTACATATGGGAACACTACGACGACAAGACCGGACAAGGTCGTGGTTCTCATCCGTTCAACGGATGGAGTTCATTAGTCTTGTTAATCATGAGTGACAACATGGATGCTTCATAGTAGAGTTCTGATTACATGGTGATAATAATCCCTGTTATTCCATTTTTTCGAGCTGAAATCATGTTATATTCTGCCCTGTATCACAATACGCCGTGTGTTGCGCTTTGGGTACAAACCTAATCTTCCCCGACATTATTAGTTCTTCTGTAGGTTGTTATTTGTATGTATTGCAGGAGCGTAAGCTCACCACAGCCTCGTGTTTAATCGGGTATCTGAGGTCCCTTATGCATTGTTGAAATGTTAATTTCGCTTAATAAACTGTATTTTGTACCTGCTTGTAGCAAATTAAGCTCACACTAAAGGCACCACACATTATTGCTTTACAAGCAAAATAATTTTTTAATCAGCACTCTCAGAATTACAGCTACCATGCGGCTACGCACGCTATTGCGTGCGCTGTGGGCTCTAGCCATGAGAGACGGAGCTACATGAGCTTCTGATTTTCATTATAGACCTTTATCATCTGGGCCTCTTCCATGACACTTCTGTAGCGGCCGTCATTTTTCTGGGGTGTGAAATGAAGCTGTGTGTGGCCTTGAACAGTACTCCGATGTATCCAAATCAAATCTCTGCAGTCCATGTTGTCGAAGAAACCCTGTGTAGTGTGGGCTGTGTGTGGCCATGAACACTATCTTTGAAAGGAAAGCCCCTTTGGGTAGTTGTAGAGATTTACGTGTCTCTGCAGAGTACGCACCTGTGTGGCCGGGGTTATCGTAGAATTTATTTTATGGCCTGTGAAGTTAATGTAGTGCATTTGCTCTTGTGTAGAAGGGGCTACTGTGTGTGGAAAAATGGATACTAACTTCTAGAAAGTTTTTAGCCGAATTTTTGAAAGAGTTTAGTGGTATCCCCTAGTTGTACACCTATGTGGTAAGAGTTAATGTGAAGGAAAGATGTGTAAATTTTTGATCTCAGCCCCGCCCCCCTCTTTGCACACCCCAACCACTTCAGACTTCGAACCACATTACTTTGATTACCTCTAGACACCTTTTTCCTGCGTTCTAAAACGCATCCGAAGAGACTTAATAATTTTGATGTAAGCCCACTTTAGTGTCAATCCCGCCCACTTGCGGAGTCTGACGCATTTATTCTATTACATCTTACCACTTTTTTCCCGCATCCCACAACGTTTCTAAATAGAGATATAAATTTCTCCGCCCGCTTTAGTGCCAACCCCGCCCACTTCGAAGATTTGGCCACATTTGTTCCATTACTTCCAACCACT